TACATTATTTTATCTTGGCCTCAAGAGAAAAGGAAATTGGGAAAATAACTTCATACAGTCCAGTCTCTTCATACTGGACTGTAAATTCCTTTAGGAAGAGTTCATTTCTAATTTGATTAGATCCTCACAGCCACCAAGTGAAGTAGGCAATTGTATCACCCACATTATTCATAGAAATTCGGGCTCATCCTGTGGAGACTCTTTGGACGTCCCCAAGTAGACTTGACCCCTCCTCCCTGTTCCTTGTATCCTGGAAAACTATTAGTATAGCACTTGTAATATTTTATATTCTCATCTGTATATGTAAAACCAGCTCTGTTCACGGTAACTCTTACCGTGGAAGGAAGGGTGATGTCTTGGTCAGCTTAGGCTGCTGAAACAAAATGCCATAGACTGGGTGTCTCGTAAACAACAGAAATTTATTTCTCACAGTTCTAGAGCCTGGGAAGTCCAAGATCAAGGTGTTGGCAGAATCATGTCTGGAGAGGGCCTGCTTTCTCATAGATGGCACTTTCTTGCTGTGTCTTCATATGGTGGAAGGGTCAAGGCAGCTCTCTGGGGCCTCTTTCATAAGGACACTGATCTCACTGATAAGGGCTCTGTCCTCAAGACCTAATCACCTCCCAAAGGCCCTACCTCCTAATACCATCACATTGGAAGTGAGAAGTTCAACATATGAAGGGAGAGGAGGGGCAGACACAAACATTCAGACCATAGCAGGAGGTACAATTCACTTAAAAAGTCTTGCTGTCAGCTGATCAGGTACTACACACTATTTTCTATAGTTCTTGTCCCCCAACTTACAAATACATACGTTCTTTAAAAGCATGAATTTTTTTGTATCTCCATTTCTCCCGATAAGACCATGTATTTATGCAACTAGTCTGTACAAGCCACTGTGCTAGACCCAGAGTCATCTACTACCAATCCTATTTATTTCACCTCACCAGGCTTTGTTAGTCTTGGGGGAAGGATAAATAAATGACTGGAGCAGAGCGTTGGAGTCAAGAGGCTGCAGGTGTCTGAAAAGGAGACTGAGTGCAGGGTGGAAACTCTGATTCCTACATATGCCACTCAAAACCAGGTGGTTGCAAGTCAGTTAATTTCCATGTGTATTATCATGGGTACATTCCTCATCATAAAACTATTCTTTCGTCGAACAAAAGCACTTAAATTTTAAAGTTTTATATTGAGGTATTTTACTGTATAGCTCGTGCTTTCGGTAACAGTAGACCAACAAATTCCCAATCAATAGTATCGTTTGAATACACACATTGTGCTAATTTACTAGGAATACATTTTCATGATTATTGTAACAGTGAACTCCCCTTTTGTTATGAGATCTTTCTGGTACTTCAGCAAATGAATCTACAATATAAATCCATCTCATATTTTTTCTGCTTTCCAGTGCAGAGTTTTTAAAATTGCTCTGAAGATGCTGGGTTAATTGGCACCCACAGGACATTTGTCAAAGGTTAGACTGTAGGTAACTTATTTTCTTTCTTCCCGAATCTCTGCATAAGGTGAATTTGCAACTGTATTCCATTTTGGCATGATTTGTTGCTTGTATTCAGCACATTTCTGCTTTTCCCTGGTTGATAGGGCAATAGGAGAGCTGGATTACATTTTTTCAATGGTCTTGAACCATCTGATACATTGTTGTTGTTACTCTGCCATTGTTGCCATTAACGATCCAGCACTGAGAAAAACCAAAACTTTTTTAGAGCCTCTACAGACCAAGGCCAATCGATATGTTAATCAAAGTATTCACTGTGAGCTAGATGGAACACACTGTGAATGGCTACTCAGTTATGAAAAAAAAATCCAAGAGTGAATTTTTTTTTTTTTTTTTTTGGCTTTGGTGGTGTTTTTTTGTTTGTCTGTTTGTCTTGCTAATTTAGATTTAACTGCATTTAAAACAGTTCTGCTTAATTATAATCATGCAACTATGTCTCTAAGCACATCACAGAATATGTTAGAGACATTGTCCTTATTATAACCAAGTGGATGCTCTCTCTCTAATTTTTTTCAAAAAAGATAGCTTTAAATGCTATATTCTTCATTTGGCATTACTCGTGATAGGTGCTTTACATGCTTAACATGCTTTACACATGTTATTTAAATGTCTAAAAGATTCTTAAATAAGACATTATCAATAAAAATTAAATCATTAAGTATTGATGTATTTATTCATTTGAATGTTAACAATTTATCATCTGTAGAAGACTGACCAAATTTTCAGAAAGATTTTTTCACTTAAACAATAGAATAATTGTTACAGTAAGATGGAACAGTGCAGATGGTAACATCTATCATTAATTTGAATATGAATTCTGCATTTCAAAAGTGACATACAATGCATTAATATGCATCAAAATCTGGATCTAGGATATCTATTTACTTATGGATATGATTCTCTGCAAAGCTAGATATAAATTCATGGTTCTGAGATATACACAATGCATTAATATGCATCAAAGTCTGGATCTAGGATAGCTATTTACTTATGGATATGATTCTCTGCAAAGCTAGATATAAATTCATGGTTCTGAGATATAAATTCATGGTTCCGATGTATGTGAAAAATGAAAACAATAGGTAAAGACTAGCTATTTAAAATATGTGGGTAGTGCACATTCATGGCTAACATCAGAATCCTTTGGAGGGAAATGGAAGACTTGTTTGGTAGGGTATAGAAGCCGTATAAATACTAAATAAAGGATTATGATGATGATAATTTAAACACCAGTAAAATTCTTATTGTTTAACCATTTAAAAAACATTTCCTGTCTTCCCCCTTTCATTAACACTCCTCCTCCTCAAGCCTTAATTTACTGGGGAAACAAGAGTTGGGGATAATAACTTGGAATAAAATTAGAAATTTGCCATTTACTTAATCTCCTTCACTTTTTAGGAAGAGAATTAACCCCTTGTCATATGGCATTTTCATTCTTTTAGATAATTATTCCCATTATGTTCTTACTACATGAGCTCTGCTCAGCAAGTGTGGAATTCAGTTCTTGTATTCGCCATGCAGCTTTTTCTTCCCATGAGGAACGTGACTCAGAGAAAAAGGTGACTTGATGTTTAAGCGGTCCCTTTCAGCCTCCTGTTCCTCATCGTATCTCTCATCCTCATTTTCATCTTCCACATCACTGCTCTGAGGACTGGAGGCCTGAGACCCTGAAGGAGAAGGCGGTACTGAGGAAGGCCTGGGATATTTAAATCCTTCTGTCTGCCAAAGACAAAATAAGACACAAACATTATAACAACTTTTCTTGGTTTTCAATAACATAAACACTATGCATGCATATTTAAGAAAAAAATGTAGTCAGATATCTTTTGTGTTCTGTTCAGGTGCTATTAAACTTTGATCCATTTTGATTCTGGTACCACCAAGCTCAAGAAAGATTCATTAAATATACAGCTATCCTTTACTTATGTGCCAGGTGGTACATACGGGTACATGTATTTCATTTAATCTTTTAACAACACTGTGACAAACTTTTTCTTTCCAATTACAGAAGAAAATTGAGGGGTAGAGAGGCCAAATGACTTGCCCAAGGTCACATAGCACATAAATGATAGAGCAAAGACTTGTACCAGTCTGCAATGACTCCAGAGCCTTTCATTTCAACTGCCATGTGATATTGCCAATGTTGTCAGTCTCTCTGTCATCCTTCAGATTTGCTCAACAAAGTTGCAGGAGGTCGGCAGCCTGAACATGCCAATTTGCCCTATCTTACTCTTGCCAACTGGTCNGCCATTGTTGCCATTAACGATCCAGCACTGAGAAAAACCAAAACTTTTTTAGAGCCTCTACAGACCAAGGCCAATCGATATGTTAATCAAAGTATTCACTGTGAGCTAGATGGAACACACTGTGAATGGCTACTCAGTTATGAAAAAAAAATCCAAGAGTGAATTTTTTTTTTTTTTTTTTTGGCTTTGGTGGTGTTTTTTTGTTTGTCTGTTTGTCTTGCTAATTTAGATTTAATTGCATTTAAAACAGTTCTGCTTAATTATAATCATGCAACTATGTCTCTAAGCACATCACAGAATATGTTAGAGACATTGTCCTTATTATAACCAAGTGGATGCTCTCTCTCTAATTTTTTTCAAAAAAGATAGCTTTAAATGCTATATTCTTCATTTGGCATTACTCGTGATAGGTGCTTTACATGCTTAACATGCTTTACACATGTTATTTAAATGTCTAAAAGATTCTTAAATAAGACATTATCAATAAAAATTAAATCATTAAGTATTGATGTATTTATTCATTTGAATGTTAACAATTTATCATCTGTAGAAGACTGACCAAATTTTCAGAAAGATTTTTTCACTTAAACAATAGAATAATTGTTACAGTAAGATGGAACAGTGCAGATGGTAACATCTATCATTAATTTGAATATGAATTCTGCATTTCAAAAGTGACACACAATGCATTAATATGCATCAAAGTCTGGATCTAGGATAGCTATTTACTTATGGATATGATTCTCTGCAAAGCTAGATATAAATTCATGGTTCTGAGATATAAATTCATGGTTCCGATGTATGTGAAAAATGAAAACAATAGGTAAAGACTAGCTATTTAAAATATGTGGGTAGTGCACATTCATGGCTAACATCAGAATCCTTTGGAGGGAAATGGAAGACTTGTTTGGTAGGGTATAGAAGCCGTATAAATACTAAATAAAGGATTATGATGATGATAATTTAAACACCAGTAAAATTCTTATTGTTTAACCATTTAAAAAACATTTCCTGTCTTCCCCCTTTCATTAACACTCCTCCTCCTCAAGCCTTAATTTACTGGGGAAACAAGAGTTGGGGATAATAACTTGGAATAAAATTAGAAATTTGCCATTTACTTAATCTCCTTCACTTTTTAGGAAGAGAATTAACCCCTTGTCATATGGCATTTTCATTCTTTTAGATAATTATTCCCATTATGTTCTTACTACATGAGCTCTGCTCAGCAAGTGTGGAATTCAGTTCTTGTATTCGCCATGCAGCTTTTTCTTCCCATGAGGAACGTGACTCAGAGAAAAAGGTGACTTGATGTTTAAGCGGTCCCTTTCAGCCTCCTGTTCCTCATCGTATCTCTCATCCTCATTTTCATCTTCCACATCACTGCTCTGAGGACTGGAGGCCTGAGACCCTGAAGGAGAAGGCGGTACTGAGGAAGGCCTGGGATATTTAAATCCTTCTGTCTGCCAAAGACAAAATAAGACACAAACATTATAACAACTTTTCTTGGTTTTCAATAACATAAACACTATGCATGCATATTTAAGAAAAAAATGTAGTCAGATATCTTTTGTGTTCTGTTCAGGTGCTATTAAACTTTGATCCATTTTGATTCTGGTACCACCAAGCTCAAGAAAGATTCATTAAATATACAGCTATCCTTTACTTATGTGCCAGGTGGTACATACGGGTACATGTATTTCATTTAATCTTTTAACAACACTGTGACAAACTTTTTCTTTCCAATTACAGAAGAAAATTGAGGGGTAGAGAGGCCAAATGACTTGCCCAAGGTCACATAGCACATAAATGATAGAGCAAAGACTTGTACCAGTCTGCAATGACTCCAGAGCCTTTCATTTCAACTGCCATGTGATATTGCCAATGTTGTCAGTCTCTCTGTCATCCTTCAGATTTGCTCAACAAAGTTGCAGGAGGTCGGCAGCCTGAACATGCCAATTTGCCCTATCTTACTCTTGCCAACTGGTCTTCCTATAACTGAATACTTCCTTGGATAGCAAATTCACTTCCTGTTAAGGCAGCCCAGTTTATTTCTGAACAACTTCCAAAAGAATGGGTGTTTAACAGAGCAGTTTCAAGCATTAAGGCAGAGACAGTTTAATATGGAGGTGCTTCTCCAGTGATGTCATTAGCTGACTGTCTCTCATCCAACCTGAATCGAGGGCTTTGAGATAGTTTGCTTTGTAAGTTCCTCTAATCTTTGCTTTGATTCATCATATGTAAAAGTACATATTATAATAGCTTCTGTATCCAGCTACCTTCAGATTAAAAGATATTGTAAGAACTTATCATAAATAAGAAATTTAACTTTCAAAACACATAAGCAACATATTAAATATTTACCGTCGGTGGTGATATAGGTTCCATGTGGAATTTATCTGGAAAAGTTCTGCTTAACGTCAAGTGCCTGGCATGCTGGTAATACTGTTGATAGAAAGCCATTTCACAGGTTTAAAAAAAAAATTAGATAGCTCTATAACCAAGTTATTATATAAGGCTTTATTCTCTTAGTTCTGAAGTGTGTATGTGTGTGTGTATATATATATATATACATTTTTTTTAAGTGGAAGAATCTATTCACCTAAATTTGAGAATCAGGAAAGAAATGACAATTTGTAGTTTTATTATTTTTCAATGCATAGGCAAAGTAATACTACAAAAAAATGAGGGAGAACTGGTCATTCTGAACTCTGAATTCAGCACCATGATGACTGAAAACACTGGGTTCATTCTACGGAGAAGCAGTATGTCATGGAAAAAAGATGGGGCCTGAATAGTCAAACTGGGTGTAAATACTGCTTCAGATTTTAGGTAAGAAACATACCTCTAAAAGCCTTGTCTTTCTGTTTTCATTATAAAATGGAGACAGTAAAATTAATCCTCCAGATTATAATGAGCACTGGCATTAGTGTTCAGCAAATGGTGTCGTTTATCATCTGGCCAGGAGAGTTCAGCAACATGCAAGCAGATATACCATATGAAGGTGAAGTCCATTTATTTATTATTAAATCATCCTTTGCTGAAATATGTGAGTAGTTGGGTATTTATAAACCTAAGGCATGATTGAATAGAAGTATTTTCTGTACTTGTCATTTTGAAAAACAATATTATTCCCATTCCCCACTGTAGTCGAGGAATATTATCACATTATCTCTCTATAGTGAAACAAGGTGGGGACTTCTCTCTTCATAATTTTCCTCGTCTTCATAAAATGTGTTTGCATACCTGTAATGCATCAAGTTAAGCACTGACAGTAGAATAATTCATAAGATTAGTTCTAAATCCTGATGGGACTTGCTACTATGGACTCAAACTAAATGTGAAGAATTGGGTTTAGGAGTTTGCAAATTCATATTAAGTTTAAAAAGTGTGTGAAAACATCACTGAGATTTTAACAATTACAATATTGAATTGACTTTATGGATTATGACTAGAATCAACACTTTTATAGTCCAGTGGAATTTTTAAAGTGGTCCTCTGCGTTTATCAAAAACTTGCTTACTCTGCCTAAGTATCTCCAATCCAGAAGATCTGAGAGCCTCTCAGTTCGGTTTCTCTGGATAATTCTTTGGCGACGTGACTGTTTGCAAAATCCATAGAGAAACTGAGTCAATTGATTGCAGGAGTCATCTGGAGAGCGGAACCGCCTGTCAACAATGTAAATTCCTGAGGAGCACAAAAGCCAAAGCACAGGTAAAAGGAGGGCTAATCTTAAAACGTTTCTTCTTTTCCCTATATCTTTGGTTCTATCAAAGACCATTTGCATCATCCACTCCCCAATTCAGCTATTGCCTCCACCTTATCTTTTCCTTCTAAGGTTTTATTGCTTCCATGATCTCTTTCTAATGGTTTACACCCAACGCCAGTGCACAGCCAAAAAGGTAGATCTCACTGAAAAAGAATCTGGTGGTCTGGGGATATGCTGGATCAGTGAATCTCCATGGGGCTGCTCAGATGGGACCTGGGTATCAGTGCTTTGTAGGTTCTCCAATGCTCCCACCATGCAGCCAGGGCTGAGAACCACAGCTCTAGTCTGAGGAGACAGAACAGCCCCAGTGCAACAGTAAAAGATCCAGGGAATTGGCAATGTACAGGCAGAGAATCCATCCCATTCAAACTTCTCCTGCTGCTAGGCAATATGAATAGATACATGGTGATATACAAATTCTCCTGCTGTCTTAAACAATTTAAGTAAATTTTGCATGGATCTTTAAAATAATACGAATCTATATACTCTATATATAATGACCAATATATGTACCATAAGACTATGGTTGTTGTAACATTTCTTCTAGGAAGTAGAGAGCCAAGGCAGAATTCAGGGTGGGGGGAAAAATGTAAAGAGCAAGATTTGTTGAGGTTTAGCACTGCTTTTGCAGTTTGTCTTCAGAGCGATACATCTAATATTAATAGCATTCTTATCTATGGACCACATAATTCAACCTACTTTTAATTAAACAAGATATATAAACATTAGTTTAATTATCAGGATAACTTTAGAAGTAGGCTCTGTAAAGAGCCTGTGCTTTGTTTGGTTAGAGGTCATGTCTCCTTGGGTGCATTCTGAAAAACCTCACCGTAAGCAGTAGGATCAGCCACGTGCTCCTGCATGAAACAGCCAAAGCCAGACAGGTTTGTTGTCACACTGGGGATGCCCATCACAGTGCACTCAGCTGCCAGGAGAAAAAGACAAAGGCTTGGCTTGAGACCAGCTTCCAGATCCTTGTATGCACATGGAGGAGCAAAAAGTCCTAGTCCTCCTAGTAACAGCAGTGTTTACTTTGTGCCAGGCATGGTACTAAGATCTTTGCATGTATTATTAACTCATTTACTTTTTCAACATCCCTGTGAAGTTGGGCCATCATCTCCGTCTTACAGATGAAGCAACTGAAGCACAGAGAGGTTAAATAACTTGCCCAAATTCACAAAGCCAGGGAACTTGATTAAAGCTGGGATTTGAGGCAGGGGCCAGCTCCAGAGCTCTTGCTTGGAACTGCTGTGTATCTGCCTCTCTAACCCCAGCTAGTGTTGTTTTGTCCTCCATTCTAGCCTGTGTCTCTAAGTACTCGGCAAGATTATGGGGTAGGTTAAATATGTTTTGGACACGACCCCCTTCTCCCTTCATATAAATCTCCCTTGGCATAAATTGCTTCCCTTTTCTCAGGAGTGCAATGAACCTGCGATCTCTTTCAGTCCTCCGTCACCTTTTAGTCAAAACCTGTTTTCAGAAAATATCTGATATGTCTTTAAAAATCTTACCGCTCTCAAGAATGTCTGCATTTTTAACAAGGAATTTATATTTGATTATGAAATTACTCTTGGTTGATGAGTGGGGGATAGATTTTTAAAAACAGGATCTCCCCATTACCCGTAAAGTAATACAATTTAGACAGCAACCTGTCTCATGCTCTGCAAGTATTTTCTTTTGACTTAGCTCTGTCACTAGAGAGCAGTGGTTCTGTAATATTTTTAGAGGTGGGGAGGGAGGAAGGTGGGATGGGGATTATTAACGCCTTTGAAAACCTGATGAAAATTCTGAAACTCCTCTCCAGAAAAATTCTCATATGCATATGTATACAAAACTTTGTCTACAATTCCATGGAAGTTCATAGATCCTTATTTTTTTTATTAAATATTCACTAATACCCTATATAGTAAAACACTAGGTACTCATGTAAGCTCAGTATACGTTCGTCGAATAAATTTAACGAAATAAGTACTTATATTTATTAGGCGTTCTCAAAACATAGAACAGACTTTAATGAATGCTTTCTGTGGGTGAGTTAGACCTAATATCACATAAAAAGATTACTCTAAAAAAATTAGAGAATTATCTAATATGCTAGTGTTAAACTGATACCACCAGAAGTCTCATTATTTCTGTAACTATAGGTTAGGTGAGGAGTGACCAGTTCTCTTCAGTTAACTTAAAACAGAGACTGAGGGCTGGCCAGGTAGCTCACTTGGTAACACACAGAGTGACTCATTCATTACGAGTATTCCACAAACTTCTTTTCCCGTCCACTTATCTTTTATAACATCTTTGGTCTTTATCTTAGAACATTAGATAAGTCTGTCTATCATTGTGGATTAAGTTTAGCTTTGTCCTATAAAACAACATTTTGGTGAAAAGTTGGCTGTCACATAACATTCTCTTTACTCAACAGAAATAACTTCCCACATTCCCTCAGTCACTCATACATCTGATTTCATGCTCCCCATCTGTGATACTTCTCATAATAAATTGTATTATTTACTAGAAACAATAGGAACAAGGGTCAATAACAAAGTGTTAAGTTCATCAGTGAAATGTGTGTTTTATGTGTCTCAAAAGGTAGATACTCTATCATCAACAGTGTAAGATACTCATGTGGATATTTCATGAGTAAGAAGACACCACCTTCATAGAGGAGAAAGCGATTTTTAGCAAGAGCTAAAATGCCAATAGCATTTTTAGAATTTCAAGAGAGATAACTAAAGTTAGATAAATAAATTTTCTATGTCATGTTTGAAGAAGTAGTAATTCTTTGTCTATTTTTTTCCAGAAGTTTTCGTGTTTTTATAGCTGCTGACAGATTATTCTCGGTTGAACCTAGAACAGAATAGGACCTTATGACAAAAGACACAGAGACTTCATGTCGCTCCTATTGTAAAGATTGTGAGATCCTGTTTTTATAGGATTTCAAATTATGTATTTAAATTCTCAGATGCAAGAATACAAATATTAGGAAAGTTTTCCTCTTCATAATTTAGCCCACTATTCCCCCAACCGTGACCTCTGCTACCCCTTTCTTGAGCTTTGTATCAATGACAACATTGAGATGCAGAAGGCAAAATTTATTCTCTTAATTACAAATAAAAATGTTTTCTGAACCTTTTCTTTTAAAATCATAAATGGAATTGTATCTAAATCAGGAAGAAAATCTCTGATTAGCAATAAAAGATGGAAGAGTCAGCATTGTAATAGTTGAATGAACATGTATTTAAAGTATGTTTCTACTTTAATTAGGCATTTCAGTACAAATACAAATGAATCACTTTTTTAGGAATAAATTATTTCTTTGGATTTACATTATTCTTCTACAAAATATAAATTCTGATTCATCAGTGAGTCAGTGCATGAGAAAATATCTTCTTAAATGATACCATATTTTATAAATACTAATTATTCTTACCAAGTCTGGGTTTCCTGGGAGTCACATCAGTCATAGCTAGGCTCGTCTTCCACTTCTGATATTTGAAGGCTGGTCTACTCTTAGTCTGAACCAGGGAAAATGTATAGAAACCACCAAAATTTGTCCAATACCCCGGCAGTGTATTTCCAACTCTGATCCCTGCCCTGTGATGAGAAGGGGAAGGCTGCAAATTTGCTCCCACAGTCCCTGCTGTGGGGAAAGCTGGCATCAGATGTTCTCTGAAACATACTGCCTCTCATCTGGACTCCGAAGCTAGACACAGTTTAAAGAAGAAAAAGAAGAGGGTCTGTGCATGTACCACCCAGCCGTCAGCCATGGCTACTGAGGATGACACTGCTGAAAAGACCTAAGCAGAGTCAACAAAGGTAGTTCTTTCTACAGCATGATGGAGGTAGATGACTTCACAGCTTCCAGCAGCCTCGTCACCCACACTGCCCCCTCATGGGTGATTTTTGCCATCAGGCTGGCTGAGGCTTATGGGACTCTCCTTGTGCCTCTTCATAGTCTTTTCATGGTTTCAGCCGGGGGCCAGTGATCATCACTATTTTAAGGATGGGCTGCTTAGGGGGTGCCCATGGGGGAACGATCTTGCCATGCATTCTCCAGCTCCCACAGGGGCTCATCAGGTGCTTTTGACACACAACATACTCCAGAACATCCTTGGGCACATCTTCCTGTGACATAAATCAACCAGCCAAACCAGTCATAGATGGCCAGAGTCTGCCAGGTGGGCATGTGTATGGTGACCTGGCCATACATGTTGCTCAGGTTCTCCAGACTTGAACAGTGAACCTGAACCACCTGGGGTGGCTGTAAAAGATTCCATGAAGCTCCAGTGAATGGTCTTATACTTGAGGTCCCAGATCATGTCTGGAAAACAGTGTTCAGTTACCAAGATATGAAGCCGGTCATGATCTGGGTTGTTTAGACAAAGGTGAGCTTCGATGAAGATATCCTTAGCTTTCTCAGGGAAGTCCTTTGTTTTAAAATTAGCATCATATTCTTTTATCTTCTGGACTGACAATTGTGACACAACATTCTTCTTTATTCACTCCTTTCTCTGTCTCAGTCCTTCTTTTGAAAGAGATGACATGCGAGCATCACCCTCAGGAGGAACACAGGCATCAAAGATAGCAGCTGTACAGGCCAGATGTATGGGACGCTCCAAACGTTCTGGAAGAATGGCCGATCCTGCTTTCCAGGCATGTTCTATAAACTCCTTTTCTGTTTTGTATTTGGGTTCATAAGTAGAGGGTGTGAAATGTTTTTTAGTTCTTACTGGAACTATAACTCTGGACTGAGTCACCAGGACTGGCTGCTGTGACCACCATCCCAAAGCCCTGGATAAGCAAGAAAGCCCCCAGGGCAGGGGGGCTGCCATTTTGTTCACCAAATGAGTCACTCTTGATGCTAATGGCAACCATGCTAGCTGGGGCCAGAAAAGAAAAATAAATGGTGGGTCTGAGAATCCACCATTTGTAAAACAAAAAAAAGCAAAAAGCAGTGTGTGTGTGTGTGGGGGGGACTTCTGAATGGAACAATGTCATTGCTGACAATATCTACCCCTAAAGTGCCATTTTCTCCTAATAGCAACTCTTTTCTGAAGACAGGAATGTGAAAAAGACTTTTTACTGCATACCTTTTTATATTTTTTTAACCACGTGAATTTGTTAAATATTACAAATTAAATACATCTATTAAATATTTTTTAAAATGTATTCTTTTGAAATGTTTTGGAGAACTATATTGCTAGACTATCATTTCTTGTATTAACCCTACTTGCAGTCAATTTTTCCTTTACATTAATAAATGAGATGTGTAGAGATAATTAAATAATATAATCTTTATAAAACATTCTTTTTTTTGGAATTCAATGAGGCAATAACTCATATACCCACTAAAATATGCCCAGCCACACCAAGGTATACTTTTGACATAACCTTTGTCATTCTTAGGTCAGGATCTACAAGCATGAAATTGACCCCTGAGATAGATCCAACCAAAATCATTTTTAAAACAAACTGAAAAATCAAAACCTTAGTAGATATTACACATCAACTTTGAATATTATATACATGCACATAAAGTAATATACTAACAAAATCAAAACATTTCATCATCTATATATGTCCCATACCTGGAGTATAACCCCATGGTTCATAGTATGATGGAAATACTCCAAGATGACAACCACGAACAAACTCTTCATAATCCATGGGTAATAAGGGGCTGGTGGAGGATAAAAACTCTGGGTGCAAAACCACCTAAAAAACAAAAAGAAATTCTAATTTAAAAAGAGGAGAAAAAGAAAGTAAAGCAAAGAATCCCCTATAACTTGGTCATTTCAATAGAATCCTTGTGTTCTAGATTCAGGGGGGGAAAAGACAAGGAAAAAAGAAAAGGAAAAAAGCCTGAGTGGTTTTTTTCTCCTCTCTTCATTCTGTATAAGTAAACATATAAGTAAACATATACCTTGCAGACTGAATTTTCATTCAGGTCCCGAGGCTTAGATCAGAGGATCAGGAGTCAGCATGCCCATTTTTGCTCTCACACTAACCTACATCGTCCAACCTGGCCTTGATCAGCAATAAAGATTTTATTTATTTGGTTCTCTTACGGCTGACCTCTGTCTTACTTATCAATTTGTTCCCAGCTCCAATAGGAAAGAAGGGTACTATCTAATGGACCACTCTCACATGCCCCAAGCATGCGTTAGCCAGAAATGGAACCAAGGGACAGGGAAAATATTCTAGGAATCTCATCTAGAATAGATCATAATAATGGAGGACCTCACCCAAGCCACCATCCTCTCTCCCCTGGAAGCAATCACCTCCTAGCATATCTCCCTGCTTCTGTTCCACTAGAATCTTTACTCAACACAAACACTGGAATGATTCTTCAAAAAAGTCAGTCATTTTCCTGCCACACCATCCTTCAGTGGCTTCCCAAATCACTCAGAGTAAAATCCAAAGCGTTTACCATGTCTGTAAGGAAAAGACAAGGAAAAAAGAAAAGGAAAAAAGCCTGAGTGGTTTTTTTCTCCTCTCTTCATTCTGTATAAGTAAACATATAAGTAAACATATACCTTGCAGACTGAATTTTCATTCAGGTCCCGAGGCTTAGATCAGAGGATCAGGAGTCAGCATGCCCATTTTTGCTCTCACACTAACCTACATCGTCCAACCTGGCCTTGATCAGCAATAAAGATTTTATTTATTTGGTTCTCTTACGGCTGACCTCTGTCTTACTTATCAATTTGTTCCCAGCTCCAATAGGAAAGAAGGGTACTATCTAATGGACCACTCTCACATGCCCCAAGCATGCGTTAGCCAGAAATGGAACCAAGGGACAGGGAAAATATTCTAGGAATCTCATCTAGAATAGATCATAATAATGGAGGACCTCACCCAAGCCGCCATCCTCTCTCCCCTGGAAGCAATCACGTCCTAGGATATCTCCCTGCTTCTGTTCCACTAGAATCTTTACTCAACACAAACACTGGAATGATTCTTCAAAAAAGTCAGTCATTTTCCTGCCACACCATCCTTCAGTGGCTTCCCAAATCACTCAGAGTAAAATCCAAAGCGTTTACCATGTCTGTAAGTGGTGGTGTGCTGGTACATATTTTAACACTGAGAAATCAAACTATAAATACATAGTTATACATAAGTTTATTATAAATTTTAACGATACAAATGATGTACGATTTCCAAATTTAAACAAACATGCCCACAAAAACCTGCACACAGATGTTTATAACAACTGTATTCATAACTGCCAAGACCTGGAAGCAACTCAGATGTCCCTCATAGATGAACGGATAAATAAACTGTTGCATCCAGACAATGGACTGTGATTCAGTGCTAAAAAGAAATGAGCCATCGAGCCATGTGAAGACATAGAGGAAACTTAAATGAGTATTACTAAGTGGAAGAAGCCAGTCTGAGAAGGCTACCTGATATATAATTGCAATAATATGACATTCTGGAAAAGATAAAACTATGGAGCCAGTAAAAAGATCAGTGGTTACTAGGGGTTGGGGCAGGGGAGGGATGAATAGGCAGAGCACAGAAGACGTTTAGGGCAGCGTATCATACGATGGTGATGAGTACAGATCATTGTATATTTGTCAAAACCCATAGAACGTTCAATACCAAGAGTGGACCCTAATGTCAACTAGGGATCTTGAGTGATAATGTGGGTTTACCCATTATAACAAGCCTACCACTCTGGTGGGGATGTTGATAGTGAGGAGGCTGTGCATGTGTGGAGCTGAGGGGTCAATGAAACCTCTGTACTTTCTGCTCAATTTTGCTATGAACCTAAAACTGCTCTAAAAGAAAGTCTATAGTCTCCTTATTGTGAATTCTCTATAGTCAATTAGTCCTCACAAAATGCTTTTTTGATTTTTGCCAAAATCTTGTATTTATAACCAATTCATGATTTCAATTGATGACTGAGTGTAACCCTGACATAAATGTTGGTTTATTTCCTTTGTTTCTGAGTGAAAGAAAGTAAAGTAACAGAGACATATGTCAGAACTTCACAGTTTCATCAGTGATGCTAGTGACTTCTTTGCAGAGTCAGATATTAGTTTTTGAACACTCACAATGTAATGGCTACCATATACCTTAAAGTTTAACCTGTGTTATTAATATTTCTCCATCACTTTCTTAAGTCCCCAAATCAATACACAACATATCAAGCCATCATTTGTGGTGTTCACCTATTTTCACTGTATAAATACTCCCATGGCCAATTTCAACCTATCAATTGATGTCACTGAACTCAGAGATGGGGAGAGAATTAGCACATCATCGTAGAGCATTTGCACAATATGGATACGACAGACATAAGTGACCTCAAGAGCATAGATAACAGTAACAGGAGTAAAGGATTTAGAATGTGATAAATTTTGAGCATATTTATAATTAATTTACTTTTAAGCATTTATAATTTAATTTTTAACAATGGCTATATTTAAAACTGGCTCACAGGGCCAGCCTGTGGCTCACTCGGTAGAGTGCGGTGCTGATAGCACCAGGGCTGCAGGTTCGGATCCCATATAGGGATGGCCGGTTCGCTCACTGGCTGAGCGTGGTGCTGACAACACCAAGTCAAGGGTTAAGATCCCCTTACCCATCGTAGAGCATTTGCACAATATGGATACGACAGACATAAGTGACCTCAAGAGCATAGATAACAGTAACAGGAGTAAAGGATTTAGAATGTGATAAATTTTGAGCATATTTATAATTAATTTACTTTTAAGCATTTATAATTTGATTTTTAACAATGGCTATATTTAAAACTGGCTCACAGGGCCAGCCTGTGGCTCACTCGGTAGAGTGCGGTGCTGATAGCACCAGGGCTGCGGGTTCGGATCCCATATAGGGATGGCCGGTTCGCTCACTGGCTGAGCGTGGTGCTGACAACACCAAGTCAAGGGTTAAGATCCCCTTACCGGTCATCTTTTTAAAAATAAATAAATAAATAAATAAAACTGGCTCACAAAATTTCTGAAAATTTAACAATTGGCTCTTGTGCACTGGTATGAGCCAGTTCTGGGACCACACTGCCTATGATGTTCTGTAAAGGCAGAGACAAGAGAGAGCATGGATATAATGGAAAAATTGTGAGCATAATTAATAGCTATTTAACTTGTTGCCTGTGTGAATGAATTCTCCCGTTTTTTCTATTTCTTACAGTTCTCACTGAATTAGGTTATTCTCTCAGTCTCCCCCATAACTAAGTAGTAATTTAAAATAAACAAAATCTGCTTATAAAGTACTGGGAGTCTCAAATTGACAGAAATGTTTCAAGTACAATATGAAGAGAATTAATATTTTTTCCAGAATCATTTGTGAGTTGCTAACCCAATGCCCTTTATCCCCAAGTACCTAACATGTATTTCCCATAAACAAGAACATTCTCTTACATAACCACAATATAAACTTAAAAGTCAGGAAATTAACACTGATACATCACTATCATATAATCCTTAAATCCCATTCAAGTTTCTCCAATGGTTCTAATAGTGTTCTTTAAACCAAAGGATTCAGTTCAGAAGTACGTGCTGCATTTAGTTGTCATATCTCTCCAGTCTCCTTCAATTGGGAAGAATTGATGGGTTTTCATGACTTCAACATTTTTGAAGTCTGCATTTTGAAGTGAAATAAGTTCCTTAACTTGGGTTTGTCTTATGCTTCTTCATTATTAGATTCAGGTAATACATCTTTGGCAGATGGATCACAAAAGCGATGTTGTGTCCTAACTGTACTTTATCAAATGGTACAGGATTTATATTTTTAATTACTGATGATGTTTACTTAGGTCTCCTGACTAAGGCCGTGCCTTTTTGGCTTCTTCACTATAAAGTTACTCTTTTTTCCTTATGTTATTAATAAGTATTGGGGGCAGTTATTTTGGAATTATGTCAATATCCCATTTCTAATTAAAGTTTTAATTAATGATTGTATTGGACTCACGGTTTCTTCTGCTGTTCAATGCATTCTAATTCATTAGCATCCCTGTTTAATTTGATACTCAGATTTTCTACGGTTTGGCCAGTAGGAGTCCCTGCAAGCTGGTTTCTGTATAACTTCTTGATTCCTTGAGCATTACTTTGATTTTTGACACAAGAAGAAGTTCCAGACTCAACTTGCAGTTTACCCACCACAGGCCTAGAATCAGCCATTTCTGCAAGGGAGCCCTGGCTTCTTTAGTGAAGAATGGTGTTTAGAAACCAAGGCCTGGGTGCTAGGTGTGCTCATTGTTATTGGGCTCTTACTTCTCACAGACCCTCTCAGTGGACAGAGACAAAGACCCTCACCCACACACACAAGCACACTCACGCACACACACTCACCTATCCCTGGTATCCATCATCTTTAACTTGTTACCTATTGGGTCAATTCCCTTCTACATAACTCATCTTCCTCACATGCGTGGATGGGCTACTCACTGCCTCTGGCTCTGACCCCTTGCCCCAGGCTACTCTCCACTAGGTGGACCTTCCTCACCCTGCTTGGGCTCCGATGCCTTTCTCTGGACTACCGCAGCACCTTCCCCATTCTAGTGCAGACAACTGCCTTGTCTTGCCCCACCCGCTTTAAAACCAAGTCGTTCTGGAAGGAAAGGAAAAGAGGATGAGAAAAAAGAAGAGGACAAAGAAACTGTTTTTTAACAAGCACATTACACTTTGCATTTTTTACTCATGGAATAAGTATAAACTCTTCCAAAGACATTACTTTGAAGAAAAACTCTAATTTGGATATGTTACAATAATCATAACAACATTTGCCTAACACTTTAAGTATTATAAATAATTTTCACATATATTTCCTCATTTAAACTTGGCAACGCTGTGTGATGGGTAGAAGAGATACTCTCAGATGCTAATTTCAGAAATAAAGAAAATAAGACAGAAAGAAGGCCATTCAATTATTAATTTTAAATCGATTTTGTCCTTTATAATTTCATCATATGCCAAGGATTAAAGTAAAAAAATTGTCTGAAGTCTTCATTTTAATAGAGAATTTTAACCCATCAATCCACAAGGACATTACAGGCATTAGTTATAGCTCAGTAGATCTATAAATAGGAGATAAGATAAGCTAAACTTAAGAAGAAATAAAATAGCAAAATGTACAAAACTAGTACCTAAAAATGATGGCTTATTCAATCACAAAATTGCAAAGTAAAAGTGGATAAAATATTTTCCACTGTTAAAGATGATTTGAGTTCCTATTATATGCAAGGTACTGCACTAGGAAAAGAGACAAAAGACACAGATACAGTATCTGGGCAATCATCAAATTGTCAACCTGTTGTTCTCTGTTGGCAAAGAACAAGAAATAGGATTTGAAAAGCATTGTGCCTACTTTGGCATTTCCAAGCTTAGGAAAAGTTGCACTCTCCAAAGCCCATTTTGAAACATGAAAACACCATGGCTCATTCGTTTTGTTCCCAGCCAAACAGAAAGACCCTCTCAGTGGACAGAGACAAAGACCCTCACCCACACACACAAGCACACTCACGCACACACACTCACCTATCCCTGGTATCCATCATCTTTAACTTGTTACCTATTGGGTCAATTCCCTTCTACATAACTCATCTTCCTCACATGCGTGGATGGGCTACTCACTGCCTCTGGCTCTGACCCCTTGCCCCAGGCTACTCTCCACTAGGTGGACCTTCCTCACCCTGCTTGGGCTCCGATGCCTTTCTCTGGACTACCGCAGCACCTTCCCCATTCTAGTGCAGACAACTGCCTTGTCTTGCCCCACCCGCTTTAAAACCAAGTCGTTCTGGAAGGAAAGGAAAAGAGGATGAGAAAAAAGAAGAGGACAAAGAAACTGTTTTTTAACAAGCACATTACACTTTGCATTTTTTACTCATGGAATAAGTATAAACTCTTCCAAAGACATTACTTTGAAGAAAAACTCTAATTTGGATATGTTACAATAATCATAACAACATTTGCCTAACACTTTACGTATTATAAATAATTTTCACATATATTTCCTCATTTAAACTTGGCAACGCTGTGTGATGGGTAGAAGAGATACTCTCAGATGCTAATTTCAGAAATAAAGAAAATAAGACATAAAGAAGGCCATTCAATTATTAATTTTAAATCGATTTTGTCCTTTATAATTTCATCATATGCCAAGGATTAAAGTAAAAAAATTGTCTGAAGTCTTCATTTTAATAGAGAATTTTGATAATCTGGAATGTTTGCTGAATCCAATGAGGACATTCATATTAAAAACTTATCAATCCACTCTGAGAGTTAAGAACCTCTCTGTAGAATTCTAAAAATATGCAAGCAATGAAATAGTTACTTACGTTAGCACAAGCCTAAGTTAGTTTCAGGTTTTTAAAGAATTCTGTTAATAAGTAGAAGACCTAATTCTGAATTGACAGAAGTCTCTTGCAGTGCTTTCAGTGTATATTAAATATCAGTAAGATGCTGTACTTTTATTTCTTTTGTATGTGTGGTTGCCTTATGATAATAATAAATGAACACCTCAAAATATTCAAGAGTTTAACTGCATAAACATAATTTATGTGGATTTGTATGAGATAAATTTGTCTCCATTTCCCCTACATAAACCACGTGCTTTTATATCTCTGTGCCTTTTTGTCTACCTTTTCTCTGCCTGGGGAGCCCTCCCTCCTGTTATGTGCAAGATAAACTTCTGTTCATCAGTCAAGATCTAGCTAACATGTTATCTCTTTTATAAAACATCTTATCAAATCCTGTAGGCAAAGATAAATCCATTTTCTTCTACTGTCATCAAACTCTGTTCACACCTCTCTTCTAAAAATTAAGTATCCATCATGTGCTAGATACTGGGCTAAGAACTAATAAAAGCTAATGTTTTATTACACATTTACTATGTGCCAAGTACTGTATTCAATGCAGCATCTATAGATTTTTTTTGATCTTCACGACAGGGCTATTTTATCATCGTTTTACAGATGAGAAGACCGAGGTACAGGCAGATTAAGTAAGCTTACAAATTGAATAAGTGGCAGGGATTTTAAGCCAGAGAGCATGATTACAGTCTATGAGGACTTAGACTACTGCCCTCTTTATGACTGAGGCAGCGCTAGAAATGAAACAGCTCAGATTTCCTTCAAGAGATCCTGGCCTCAGGGATCTTGACTGACAATCCTAAGTGCCTCCCCTCTTGACTGATGACAGCAGCTGTTCCTAGCCTATAGGACTGGCAAGATGAATCCTAGTGCCCACCCATTTCTGCCCAATGGGTGATGCCTTTAATAAGCAACTTTTGCTTGGGGAATACCACCCTAGTAATAGAAATCTCTATTAAAACTGTTGCATTCAATTGCTCATAGAAAAAGGTAGCCATCTGTCTACCAACCTGAAACTGTTTCGAAGATAAAACAGAAAGGAAAGGTTGCAAAATACAAGAAAAGTTGTATCTAGCAACACTAATATATTTAAAATAAGTTAACAGTAAATCATTTTATATACACACACACACAAAAGGGCATTTTTTGTATGAAGAAAAGAGGTATTATAAAATAATTCTGAATTTGTGGTAGCTGTGGATTGACTACACTGTTGAAAACTATTTTTATTTTTATTTTTGTGTGCACGTGTGTGTGTGTGTGACTCAAGATAAACTTTATTGGTTTCTTCCAGCAGGGCTCTTTTTCAGTACCTGATACCTCATTGTTATAATAAGAGTTTTTGTGCATGACTAACACATTTGTTTTATCATTTTTTGCAATAATTTCGCTTGACAGAGAAACATCCACATTTTTCTACTGTGACTCAAATTTTGTGCTTTTGAAAAATTTAGGAGGTTTTTTTGTTGTTATTACAATATGCACAGTTTTTCAATTGGATATGTTGGCTCCAAAAAATTTTTATAAGTGGATAGAAAGACAAGTTTCATGAGATTTTCCAAAGGAGCCCTTAAAATCACTCATGAAAGAGCATACCATTTGAGTGACTATGTCAGAATGTCTTTCCTAGCTCTTGGATCTAACAGTGTCTCAAATTACCACATCCTAATCAACTAAAATATTGGTTTAGATCGATTTAATAGTTAACAGAAAACGGTGGACACTTTTTCTTATTACCTGAGTTGAAAAGATGGCTCTTTTCATAATTGTTAGATCATCTCTATCCAAAATATTGTTCATGTCAGGAATTTCTCCTCTGTGGGGAAAACAATGTTAATAATAAAAATAAAAACAGCTGGCACTAATTTGGTGCTTCCTAGTATCAGATATATCAATTTCATCTATTTTGGTAAATGATGTTTATTAAGTAAATATGTTATATAGATTTAATGTATAAGGAAACAGATTTAATATATATTGAATCAATACATATTTTGACTTAAAATTTCATGAAATCTCCCTCAACTTCAGATTGACATATTATCCCTTAACGAGTTTGCTACCGAATTAGAATCTGCCTGCATATATAAATGTGTTCTCATTCGTAGACACTTTTTACAAGTTTTCTCAAACAAACGCTAAAACACTGCTCGCATGATGTAACATGTCTTCAAACACTATTAATTCCTTTATATTTGGGACAAAATAAATAGATACAGTGTCTAAACTGTTAAGTTTGAGTAGTGAACCCCTACATGTCTGAATCATGAAGTATTCCAAGCATCTACCGTAATAATGCGTCATAGAGTTTCTTTCCAAACTTTTCCTTTACAGAATGTGCGATGTCCCTGTTTAAAATAGAAAGATTTATAGTTTAAACAGTATCATAATTTTTAATCTTCATTTGTCATAACAATGCTGTTGTTTGGTCAATATTCTTTGGGTTTGCATTCTTTAAAATTGCAGGTCTCTTTTGTATAGCCTCTTTTTTTTTTTTTCCTTTTTGTCTTTTTTACTGACCGGTAACGGGATCGCAACCCTCGGTGTTGCACCCACTCCGCGCTCAGCCACTGAGCGGGAACCGGTCTCCACATGGGATCCGAACCCTCGGCGGGAGTGCCGCTGCGCTCCCAAGCGGTGCACTCTGCAGTGCGCCACCGGGCCGGCCCTTGTATAGCCTCTTTTATTATTTTACTTCTTTCCAAATCAGCTTGAGTTAAAACCTCCAGAGCCGAGGCCACAGAATACCCTGACCAGCCCAAAGAGCTTTAAATGAATTTGATTGCTGATACCCAGGGGAGGTTAGAAAGCAGCGGGGTGGAGAGGATGGAGCTACAGATGTAACAAGATAGGAATTAGGTGATAATTTTTGAGTTTGGGCTATGAGTACACAGGGGGTCATCACACTATCCTCTTTACTTTGGTGTATATTTTTAAATTTCCACCATAAAAAGTTTTCTTAAAAATTCAACCCATCTTTAAAAATCTCTACAGAGTCTTGCTCCTTCCATGATGCTCATTCCAAAGTTTTTATAATAGCACCTATAGTGCTATAGGCATTGTATAATTTAACTTGGTAGCACAATGAGAAGAGAAGCAAGTAGCATTTTTGCTGTCATAATATTAAGGAACAAAGTTCATGAAGATATAACGGAGATCGTCCACTTAAAAAAAAATCCCTTTACACACATTGCTTGAGAACATCCACAGGACGTGAGATTACCATAGCTGTTTACGCACTGCCTGTCCTTTCAGGGTTTCCACGTTGAAATTATTTGTCTTTGCAGGCATGATGAAAAACACCACCACAGTGATGTCATTCTTATGCATCTGATAAGCAATGAGAAAACACAACAGAGTCAACTATCAAAGAGTTTAAAAAATGACAGATGGACCTTAAACTTTGAATAGTAGTGCTTTTAAATATCATCAGGCAAAAGGAATACTTATTTATGATTTACAGAAAAATTATATCCACCTTCCTGATACTTTTTCAGAGATTTTAATTTAAATCTGGCTTTCAATCAAGATTTGCCACTTAACAGTTTGAAAATTCGAACATTGAATATTTTCAGGACATTGATCATCTAAAACATATAACAATTGTTATTGATATCATTGTGCTTTTCTGTGGTTAAGAAATAACTTAAATGTTAATATTACAAGGCAAAAATTAGTTTTTTGAAATTTCAGATTGAAAATTTAATGAAGATTGAGTTTTGGTTTCTTCTTTTTAATTTCTTTTTAGCTTATTCCCATTGGTTTGCTCAAATAGATTATTTACATTTTTTTCTGTTAAATGTCTTGATTCTCATGATGTTGCATTTTGGTTTTTATCCCTAAAGTAAAGGAACACGCATGCCCATTGGTTTGCTCAAATAGATTATTTACATTTTTTTCTGTTAGATGTCTTGATTCTCATGATGTTGCATTTTGGTTTTTATCCCTAAAGTAAAGGAACACGCATGTGATCAGCATATCTGGTGCTGCAGGCACGGTGCTGGGGTGCTTTAGATATAGTACATAATTTAACTCAATCCTCATAATAATTGTGCACAACAGATTTCACTCTCCTCATTTTATTAATGTCAAAAGAAAGGCACAAAAGGGTAAATATTTCATCTGAACTCCTACACAGGTTAGTGGCAAATCTGGAACTTAAACTGGTGTTTCTTGACTCTACAATCTATGTTTTCTTTTCCTCTTTCCATAATACCATTGGCCTAGCATCTCTCAGAAGGAAATGACATAACAAGCCACTGTGGGAATAAAGTATAAACTCACTTAAAACCATGAACATATGAATGTTCATGTATTCTGGAAATGGTCGACTATCTCCTGAGTGTGAAGCAGTTTAAAATCTAATATGTGGCCTCTGCACTCCAGGGCCTGACATTCTATTAAGGAAATCTACAGATTCACAGAATAGGAAACTAACCCCAGGAGTAGCCAAATGTGCTACCAAAGAACAAATGTACTACATGAAAGGAGAATGCCTTCTTTCTACTTCTCCAAGTACAGTAACTATTTTTGATATCTGGAATAAAAGCAATAGCTTTTTTCTTCACATCTAAAAATTAAGTGAATATTTCATAATTGTAGGAATAAATTTATCAATAATGTCCTTAAACATGATATATGTTTGATATAGTTGTGAGTCCATTCATTAAGCTTGTTGAATGGATACATACAAGGAAATATAAAATAATATTATTTCAGAATAATATTTTTGGCCTTCAGTTCTATTATTCAGACTTGCGTTTTTATTAATGTATCACTTCCCTATTAATGTGGTTTTAGTAAATTTTTTAGCATACTTGGTACAATGTTTTCTCTGAGACAAAGATAAGTCTATGCCCAAGAAATAGAAAATTTAACTGGAAAGTAGTGCAGAGCTCAGGAAAGTTTAGTTGTCTTAGTATCTCAATAAGATTGAAATTCTACACTGGTCTCCTGTGAGTCTTTTCCTGTTATTTATTCTATATTTTACGTGATAGGACTAGAATATGAGCCAATCATCTTGATCAATACCTGTGATATGGTACCATTTTCTGTAGTTGCTTCTATTGCTACACTTTTTATTGCTGAATTAGATGGGAACATGTTTTACATACCACCTTCCTGAGCAAAAACAATTCCACATTATCAGGAGTAAGAACCCCCTTTTCCCTCCTCTGTGTTTCCATTTTGTGAGGCATGTCCTAGTTTAACAGTTTGAGACTGTCGATCTTGAGGAGGAGGTATGGCTGGTGAGCTGGGGAGGGACTGAGTTCTATAGAGACTGGTGCTGCACTGCCTGGCTGTCAGCATGTGACAAATGTTAGTCTGAAGGCCTGCTTGGCTAGGAGGATGCTGATGGCTGGGGATTCCTGTGACAGAACGCCAAGCCTGCTGTCATATACCCAAGCTAGTCTTCATTGGTTTAAAAAAAAGTGATGTTTTGCTTTCCATTTGCTTGATTTCTCTATATTTATCTTTCAATTGGTTACAAACTCATATGGGGAAAAGGGATGTTATAATGACTTCTTAAAATATAGCACATAAAATGTGATAAACATGAAGGTCTCTTAAGAAAAACACACTTGACGACATTGACAAAAACACAAATGAGCAATGTGGCAACTCCAATATATAAATTGAAAGGCCAAAGCCATTTTTTGAATAAAGTTATCATTTTAAGCTTTCAAATTCAAGTATTTTCTTGAAAACTAATTAAGAAGCCAGAAAGTTCTTCACTTCCCATAGAGTAAAGTTCTCTCTATATGAGCATTACATTATGTCCTAGAGCTTTCTTACCCTCAGCAGGAAATTTAACCTGGATAAGGATTCTAGGAAGATGTCAGCTCCTTTGTTTGAAAACTCATACCTCCCAGCAATGAAAAGGAACAAAGTCTTTTCAAGATCAAAGTCGAGATGACTAAAACAAAGCAAAACAGTTTCAAATGAAATAAAGCTACAGCAACAAAATGTACACATGAATTCTGTTAGAGTACAAAGGGGACTGGGAAAGAGGAACATTTACTATAACAATCCTGTTGTCCCTCTACCAAAGATCCCTAAAATCACGTGCTAACTGTTTAAAAAATAAAGAAAAGCATACCCATAGAAATGGCCTCGAACAAAATCTTGGATCCTGGCTTTGTACATGGCATGTAGATTTTGAAACTCATGCACTGCTGAAAATTTCTTAACATTCAAGCCATTTGGAGTAACTACATCTGAGAAAGCAAAACAAAATTATTATGAAAATTATCTTTTGAGAGAGGGTCCAATTATAGAAAAAAAAGTTTTTAAATCTACAAAGTCAGATGTCTATTATTTTTCATTTCTGAACATCACAGAATTCAAAATTCGCAAAACTCCATAATTTAGTCTTTTGTTTAGAATAGGAAATCAGGACTACGTGGCCAAAGTGACAGTAAGTGATTCATACAACAGAGCAGTCTAATCAACAGCAGTAATAATGAGTGTTATAGTTTTCATTTATTGATTGCTTACTGCGCACTAGGTGCTTGCTCAAAAGGCTTTACAATGTAACTCATTTAATCCTCGCAACAACCAATGGGGTGGGTGCTCTCATCTACATTTTCAGAGGTGGAAACTGAGTCACAGAGTTGTTAAGAAACTTGTCCAAGAACACACGACTGGTAAGTGGAAGCAGAATCCATGCAGTCTGTCCTCAACCACTGTCCAAACTACTTCTTGCCATCTTTTTTTAGCCAAGTGTGTGGGAAATCTGTGCATTTAGAATACTGGAAAGGCAGCCACTTGTTCCTAATTTCTACTTCTCATTTCTAATTCTTAATTCTAATTTCTTGTTTATAAAAGAACTAATTCATTCTGCTTCAATTTTGTTGCTCAGGCATTCTGAGTTTTCCAGAATATTGGCCTATGACAAGAAAGAGAGCGACTTTGGGCCGGCCCGTGGCTCACTCGGTAGAGTGCGGTGCTGATAACACCAAGGCCGTGGGTTCGGATCCTATATAGGGATGGCGGCATTTGGCCGCAGAGGGAGCAAGGAGATTGTACGGTCGTTTGACAGGGGAGCAGCTTCCAGAGAAATTTTCATTTTAGAATAGGAAAAACAAAAGCATTTTTGTCAGCTCAGAAAGGGTACTATAGACAGAAAAAAAGAAAGACTCAAGACAGAAATGAACATACGGATGGAGTAAACTCTTGTAAGAGGTATGAGAATGAGAATCCAAGAGAACTCTTGGAAAGAAAAAAAAACCATAGGATCTTAATGCTGCCACTACTCCAACTACTTGGATTCTTGCTCTGTTCTGCTTTGGTTTTTAAATCTAGCTTGAAATACCTCCTCTACACATTCAGCTGGTATCTGAAAGAAACACAAGAGATAATACCACAGGAATTAAGCAAGGAGGATGTATCAATTAGAACTGTTGGGTTGCAAGTAATAGAAACCTACTAACGCTGGCTTAAGTGTAATGATGAAAAATTTATTAATAGGATGCAGGAGTTTAGCTGGGTCTCAGGAATGACTTTAAACCATGGTCTAAATTACTGTGTAGAACCTAAAGAGTTCTCTCTCTCAGTCAGTTATTGCTTCTTACAGCACTTCACTGTAGTTTAGCCTTCTTTGCATCTAGTGCAACACACAGAAAAATGGACCCTGACAACAACTTCAAAGCTGACATTTCCATTACACAAGAGTGCATTCAAACACAGATTCCTTCCTATGGGAGCATTTGAATGGCCTGGCTTATGTCAGGCGTCTACCTTTGGACCAATCAACTGTGGCCAGGTGATATGGTCATGTTTTATGAATATGCTTTTTCTCGTTGCGAGCTCTGGTTGGGTCTGGGGATGTTTCCCAGAAAAACTTGCAGGGAGGTCTGGGAAGAGATTAAAACAACAAGTTTCTATTAAACAGCACCAGTAAGGCCATGTTATAAGATGGAGGACTGGGATAGTCTCACATGAATTTCTGATATTTTCTTGGCTTTCATTTCTTAAAAGAGAAGAAAAGTCAACTCAGTTTTTTTACACATACCGAATCATTCTGACAATCCAGTTCACACTTAGAGCATTTCAACCAGAGCTCATTTATTCAACAAGCACTGGAACTATTTTCCAGATATAGCTTAGTGTTGGTTTCATTGCAAACCTACTGAAATTGAGAATTTCAATGTGTGAAGATTTGAGTGGTAATAGTGAATGCATTTTTTCCTCTAACTACTACTTTATGCTGGAAAAACAAAGTCCTCCTACTCTAAGATTATTTGGAACTGAAAGACAGGTAAACTCAGAGATAGTAATTACCAGGCTTTCTCTTCAGCATATGTTCTGCTTCCATTGCTGTTATTTCAGAAACTGTGGTGAACACGTGAGCACAATGAACAGACGCTCGCTCCATGCAATATCGGTGGTAAATCTGCCTTTCCCCAGCCTCTTTGTCTATGTCAAACTGTGAAAAACAAACAAACAGACGTTTTCTTATACTGATCCTTTCACCTGTGAGAAACAAAATCATGTATTGTGCAAGTTGTTTTTCCTCGAAGCTATGTAAAATTTTATGACCACAAAAAGTTAATCATTTTTTTTATTAAACCTATTACTAAAATACACAACTACTTATGATTTAAAAAGCACTGTTTACTTCATTTCTCCTTCTAGACTGCTATCTAACCGCCTAAGTAAAGATGTTTCCACTTTGCTGTAATCACGTAGAATTCTTGAATCTGGGGTATTTTAAATGTATTTTTACTTATCCCACATTTCAGAAATATTGAGCTAATTCCTTTTTTCCCAAAGTCCTTATCATAGTTTCCCATAAACAATAAAACAAAGCTAACATTAAACTTGGCTCTCAAAATAAGAATAATTAATATTACCCTTTACTGAATGAAATAGAACCTGAAAGAAGGAAAAGACAAATGCTTTCCCATGGTTATATAACTCCTTCCACTTTATAATTTCGGAGTGTACAGTTATTTTAACTAGACAGTGTGTTAGTTGTGCAATCTTCTGGCATTCTGAGTATCTTAACTTAAAAAAAAAAGCCAAATCCACAACAATTACTTAAATCATTGGTAAGAGTGTGGGCTTTTGCCGTTTTACTTAGTTACCGAATATTACATTTCATAAAGCGGCAGATGAAACAAGCAGTGTCTAAGAGAAAAGAGGGTATAAAATTTCTGGCATTATATCAGCAGGGTGCTTTTCATAATAAAGATGATTAGTAGCTCCTTAACACTATGTATCAGGCACTTTTCTAAGCACAATATCATATCTAATCCTCATCAACCACTGAGACATGTATTTTGTCTTCATTTTATAGAGATGGAAATTGAATCTTTTAGAGGTCAAGAAACTGGTCTAAGGTCACGTTCCTATTAGGTATCTTAGAAGAAACCTAAATTGATCGCCAATCAGTCTAACTCCAAAACTTGTACTCTTACCTGCTTTTATATAATTTATACTTCAGCACTAGCAATAGTCAGTCCCAATAACAAGTGCATCATATAGAGGAAACTACTAAAGAAAAAGACTCATTCCACGATTCTAATGATTAGGACAAGGAAATCCCTAGAGTATTTTTTTCATGACTGTAATATTTGCAATGATATCTCTGAAAATGTTTAAATTGGGGCTCTATTGGATCAGCAGCTTTCTTAAAAGCTCTATGTGACTGGTCCCATTTATTGAACCAAATCTCACATTCAACCAACATTTGTTGAGTAATGTACATTATCTGTTACCTTCAAAGAGCATATAAATTACTCAACAGTTGTTGAGTAATTTATGGGTATCTGTTACTTTAAGGATCTTATAAATTACCAGGAAAACAGGTAAAAATCAGGCAGAAATGACTATGTGCTTGAATAAGGTATAGGATCAGAGCCATACTGATTCACTCTGGCTGAGAATAAAGAAAGCATCTCATACTATATTAAAGTGTTCATATTATTGGAATCACCTCTAGAATGTAAGACTTGCAAGTGTAAGAACCGTGGATTATTCATCTCTGTATCTCCAAATTGGTTGAGTGAATAAAATGGCATTTAGACTTGGACATGAAAGTTTAATTTGGAGGAAGTTATTTTGGGCTGAAAAACTAGCTGTCCTAAAGAACAAGTATCTAAAGCACTATGGCATGCACAGAAAATAGCAGGACATCTGATGTGACTGTAACATTGGGTGTAGAATGTACGAGACAGAGGCTGGCAGGACATAATAGGGCCAGATCACTGAAGTCCTTAAAGATGAGGCTAGGAATTTAGCCTTTGACCTGCACACGGTGGAATTCCAAACAGCCCTGTCCACAGATTTCCATCCAGGAAATTCTGTTGTTATTAAGAAAAAGGAGGCCAAGACATAAAGAAACTAAAGGTCTTTAAAAAACAAAAAGGCAAACATTAGTTATCTAGCCATTATAGCTGAGGGGATAATTGGCCAATTGCTGGACTTAAAAGAATGAGTTTGGAAACATCTTCTTGGAGGATCTGAGAAAATTCACATGCTCGCTAGAAATGGCTAAAATGCTATTTTAGTTAATGAATTTTACTAAAAACTTAAACCAATATCAGGATCCTGTGGATTGACTATTAATAAAAAGTGTTTTTAGTTAGCAATTATTATTTGAGTAAAATATTTCTAATCTTTCTGCTTTCACAAAAGTTGAATTATTTTATTCTTGTTTTCACGTTTTCCCCATGTTTATTTGCCTGAGTAAGAACTTACTGAAACTGATCCTGGATCCCATATCAAGAGCTAAATTATGACTCGTTTCTTACGTGGAACGTTAAAAAACCTTTCATGTATATAATTTGGTATTTTTATGTACTACCCAAATTGTACACCTAGTGTGAGCATGGGGGCTTTTGTTGTGAAAAACTATTATGAATTTAACTCAAAACCTAGAACTTGACTATTTGTTACCAACTAGTCTCTGGGCAGGACATTTTACTAGGAAGACGGCCTGGGGTCTGGCTAAGCTTGGATATCTCAACCATTGAGGGACTTTAAGTGAG